ACATGCCTTAAGCCTAAAAAAGCTTGATATCAATGAGCCAGATCGATAGTTATGGATACACTGTAGTGTTTGGTCGTGAATTTTGGAAGATATTGAAAAATACATTGGTTGTGGCCAAAGGAAAAATGTGGGATCATTGTATAAGACCTCAAAAGATAAAGACCTAGTGGCAGTTATTATTAATGGGAACTCAGAACTATGACATCAAAGACTTTCCCATGTCTAAAGTTGGTAAATTTAAAGTTGTGCGAGAATTGTGCTCTTAGCAAACAGAGGAATGACAGCTTTCTAAAAACTTCAAGAACTAAATTTTAAAATTTTGAATTGGTGCACTTTGATGTATGAGGATCAGCTTCGATTCAATCCCTTGATGTCTAATTTCACTACGTCACATTTTTTTACGGCTTGACAAGAAATGTGTTTATTTTTTTAAAAATAAATTGGATGTGTTTGATAACTTCAATAAGTGAAAGGTAGAAGTGGAGGCTCAAATAGAACTGAAAGTCAAGCGTTTGAAGTCCGATAATGCAGTTGAGTATGATAGTAACTACTAACTGTTCATAACATGGAATTTGCATGTTGAAGATTGTTTCAAGAACTCCAAAAATAAAATGACATCGCTAAAAGAATGAATAAAACCCTAAATGAGCATGAGATTGCACTCTGGCTTGACCAAAATATTTTGGCATATACAATCAAAACAAATCCCTTTGATTTTAAAATCTGTAAAAAAAAAAGGAGTAGAAATGAGATAAAACTTACACACCTAAAAATTTTCAGTTGTGTTTCTTATGTGCATATTAATTTTGAATCAAGGAATAAATATGATGCAAAAGAAAAGAAGTGTTATATCATTGATTGTCTTAAATTATTTTGGTTATGAATTTTGGGATGATCAAAATAAAAAAAAAACAAAAAGAAAAAAACATAAGAGCTAAAGATTTGACATTCGATGAACAAAGGCTATTTAGGAATACACTAGAAATAATTAAAGAGCATGAAGAAAAAGACAAAGAAATCATCTTTAATGATCCAATTATAAAAAAAATCCTAGCATTAATACAAAAGCTCCTTCATAAGGGACCCTAGAGTCAATTACTCCAACACAACGAACGTTTATCAGACAAGCTAAACTCACACAAAGTTATTCTCCATCTTTATATTATTTACTATTCACGAATAATGGAGAACAAGAACACTAATTAGAAGCATAGCAGTCATCTTTAATGATTCAATTGCAGAAAATCCTAGCATAGTATAGAAGCTCCTTCATAAAGGACCCAAGAGGCAATTATTCCACCAAAAAATATATCTATCAGACAACCTATACCCGCACAAAGATATTCTCTATCTTTATATTATTTACTATTCACGGATAATGGAGAACTAGAAAACTACTTGGAAGCATTGCATATTGGAGATTCGATCCAGTGGAAAAAAATCATTAAAGATGATATAAATTCTCTAAAGAAGAACTAAACTTCAACGCTAGAACTATCACCAAAAGACAAAAAACGATCCAGTGGAAAAAAATCATTAAAGATGATATAATTCTCTAAAGAAGAACTAAACTTCAACGCTAGACCTATCACCAAAAGACAAAAAAATACTATAAAATGAGTTAATAGATTAAAGTGACTAATGGGAGCAAAAGATATAAGACTAGATTGGTCATTAAAAGATTTCAATAGCTACATGAGGTTGACTACACAAAATGTTTTGACAAGTGGTATACAAGGCTACAATCAAGACAGTCTTAATATGGTTGCAGTTAAGACTTACATATGGAACAACTATATATGAATATTGTATTTCTTCATATCGATCTTGAGAAAAAATATATGCGTATGAAACAATCGAAGAATTGTTGTTTAGAAAAAAAAATTAGTGTGCAAGCTTCTAATGAGCCTGTATGGGTTGAAACAAGCAGTAAGAGAACAATCCATAAAGTTTTATGATTTTACGTGTCAAAATGTTCACTATATGTGAGATGGGCTACTATTGTTTTATCAATAGGTTTGACAAATCTTATATTATTTTGTTACTTTATATTGATAATCTAGTTGCAGGAGAAAGCATAAAGGAATTAATAAATTAAAAAATAAGTTATCAAAAGAGTTTGAAATGAAAGACTTGAGAGCAGCAAAAAAAATACTTGGAATGAGGATTACTCAGGATTAGATCCAAAGAGATTTTGGTTCTAAACCAATTCAATTCTCAAAATGCAAAGCCAAGAGAGACTCTCTTACATGGTCATTTCATGATATTTAAAGAACTGTCGACAGTTTGATGTACTTTATGGTGTGTATTGGACCAAACATAGCTCATGCAATGGGAGTCATGAGTAGTTTCTGTCTAACCCAGAAGAGAAACATTGAAAAATTGAGAAGTGGATCTTAAGATACTTGAAAGGTACTTCATGTAAAACCCTTTGTTTTAAATGAAACAAATTATTCTTGTAGGGATATTCAGATGCAGATTTGGGAGGAGATTTAGATGGTCACAAGAGCACATCAAGTTAAGGGTTTACTTTTAGAAGAACTGTAGTTAGTTGGATGTCTAGACTGTAAAAAAAATATCTTGCTATCCACCACTGAAGTTGAGTATGTGACAGTGTCAGAAGAGGGTGAGGAGATGATTTAGCTAAACAATTTTCTAAAGAAATTAGGAAAGTAAGCCAATGACACTCTCTTTAGTGACAGTCAAAGCGCTATCCACCTAGCAAAGAATTCAATTCTTCATATAAGGCCAAAACACTTATATCATCATATCAAAAGATTGATTGATGATGGAACTCTACGATTAGAGAAGAATCATAGAACAGAAAATCATGGAAACATTCTAACCAAGGTAGTGACCATCTCAAAATTAAGGTTGTGTATGACCTCAGCTAGCCTCCATAGCTCATGATAATGAAGACACAACAATAGGAGCATTGTTGGATCCACATGAAGTAACACAACAATATAAGTATTCAGGCATAACATTTAATGCATTAAAAAATAAGGGTTTGACTCCAAGTGGAAGACAATTAAATATGGAGTTGAATTCCACATGTTTTAATATTTTGTCAAATTTTGGTAACAATAAAATTTGAATAGTTTCACACTTAAAATTTAAATTTGATAGTTCAATGGTTAATTAAAATTATTTCTCCTCTAAACCTATTCCCTCCATCTTAGCCTATAAAAGAGGAGGAAATCAAAGGGTGAAGCATCACAATTATTTATATTTTTTGCCCAAGTTCCTTATAAGAGAGAAATATAACGAGATCCTAATGTGGTTGTCAACATATGTAAAATGTAGAACCACATAAATCTTCTAGTGTTATCTTTTATGGGTGAGATTTTGTGATTCTATTTCTTTTTTTTCTCTTTTTCTTTCATCTCCTAACAACTAGTGTTGATTCAAGCTGGGATATATGCCCCACAAATTTTCTATCTCCACATTTCCACAAAGAAAAATTTGTGTTCTGTGGATATTTGTAACTATATCTCCCTTTATCTATATGTACATGTAGGATCTTCACGTTGGCTATGACATTACTTTCAATTTCTATCACCGTGAAATTTCTAGCACACAATGACTATTATATCAAGAATTTAGTACATGGTTTCTCTTTTGATTTGAGATTTTTTTTTTTTTTTGACATGTGCCTTAGGAATGAAGAAGGCCACCATCAATTTGAGACAAGGACAAATAATATGACCAAAACCTAGAAATAATAGGAAAAAGAATATCTTATGCATTTTGTTAAAAGAATGAATTAAGCAAAGAAAGCATATATAACCATTCAAAAATTGAGAAAACATTTTTTAGAAGACATGAGCAGTGATTTACACCTTCAAAAGTGAGAAATAGAAGATCAATCAAAGAGTTCTTGCAGGATGAAAAATAATCTATAGTCTAAGATTACTTCAACGGTTTAAGAAAATGTACTTTTGCCTGAGCCAAATAAAAGTAATATTAGAACCACAAGGGCTCATTTTGCTGCTAATTAAAAAATCATTTTTTCTAAAACAATGCGATTTTTTAAATCGATCATTTAGTTGGATTTAATTAGATATTAGCGTTGATTTCCAAACTCTTCAAAACTCACTCAAAATGAAATAGTTCAAAATCACACTCAAAATGAGTAAAAACAAAATCCTCACTTCCGAATTAAATAAGTTTCCATCTATATGCAGCCAAATAACCCCTAAGGGAAGAGTGTGAAACAGTAAAAACAACCCAAAAATCCTTCTGGAAATGAAGAGAGACACTTCAAGATTGTTGCCTAAGCATCTTACCAAAAGCCAAGGCATTCTCCAACGAACCGCAGACAAAAAAAGCGATATTTTCCAACAAAATACAGAGAAAGAATAGGTCATAAAATTACAGCAAGTAAATCATTGCAGAGCCGGAAAAAAACAAATACTTTGACATCAATCTTATAAAACAGTACCTATGGCCCCATTCACACCCCGTACTCCAACAAACAAAAGTTTTACCATCAACAAAAGAGACAAAGTGATAAATAAAAAGTAGGAAATAGCCTCAAGCAGAAACTAGAAGTTGATAGGAACTTCCAAAGGTATGTACTGCACTCATCTAATCAACTTCCGTAAACCAAAATAGCACCAATGACTAATTTACCAACATATCACATTGCGAAAATGTTGTCACTAAACCTTCTAACGAAAATCCCTCTCCGAAGCTCCGGATCCGAGACCACTCACCCAACCCGTGGATTTAGGTTTAACAGGAAGAATCCAACAGCTATAAACTAAAACTTTCAGATCCAAGCAATGCATTAAAGAACAATTAGCAAAGATAAGCCATCTACAGAGGAAATCGCAGGGCCTCTGACTCCAAGCACCGGACTGCTGTATCTATTTTAAAAGAGGAAAACAAACGGGGGAGAGGAAAGCTTCAAGATAGCAGAATCAAAAAGTCGACTCATTGTTCCAGAGAAAAACTGATTGACTTCATATGATCCATCATAAAAGAGGAAAACTCACTTGTAAACCTTATTCTATCCCTCCTTTAGTACACAAAGGGAACGATTCCGTTCGTCCTCACCTCTCCTTCCCCAGCTCGCTCTCAGCAAAAATGGAGCGGAATTTCGAAGATGTCGGCTCCTGCTGGTGATTTATATGCACGGAAAATTAATTATTATTATTATTTAATTTTTTAATCGTAATTTATATATATGATGGCTGGAAGGTCAAGCAAAAGTAAGAATTGTAAGTTATTATAATTATGGGGCATTTACCTACATACCCACCCAATTCTTTTGTATTTACATAACTAACAACTGAATTTTACTAGGTGAGCTTCTCCCATTTCTTATATTTATCGCACTCAAATCTTTTATATCACGTAAAAGATATTAATTTTTAAATTTTTAAGGAGTGAAATATAATTTTTTATGCATGTATTTAAAAATTAAAATTCAGTTATTTGATATGTAAATGAATAAGAAGCGTGTGTTATGCATGTAAGGACCCGTTTGGGGTAGCTTATAAGTGCGGTGACGTTATTGAAAGTGTTGCGATACTGTTTGGTTTGTGTGTTTTGCTCATTTATTCGAAAACACTGTTTTATTTTTACACTAAACTCAGACCGTGCGGGTCAAACCCTGCGGTCGAGGATAAGCTGCTTCTTGTGAAATGCACAAGCTGCTACAAAGACACCCTAAATCTTCCTATAAATAGGGGATTGATAATCTCACATATTTTTTGTCATGAGACTCTCTCTCACGTGATAGGAATGCAAGGGGTGCATGAGGGAAAAAAATTTGTGTTGCATGCGATAGACGTACGCAGCGCTGCGTACGATATTGGGGTTATACCGAGGGTATAAGAAGCGCTGCGTACGATATTGAGGTTATACCGAGGGTATAAGAGGGTTACATTCAATGTATAAATATCTGCGGTATACCCCTTTGTATCCTCTCTGTAACCTTCTGTAACATACCTGTAACCTAAAATAAGTTTCGTGCTTATGTTATCATATATTAAGAATTTATTAGTAGGTTACAAGTATGTTACAAAAGGTTACAGGGAGGTTACAACCCTCGATATAACCTCAATATCGTACGCAGCGTTGCGTACGTCCATCGCACACAATTTTTTTCCGTGCATGAGAAGGAAAATGTGTTGAAAATAAAATGTCTGACCCTATCTTATCCGGGTTATATTTGATTTATGCATGAGTGGGGAGATGCGGGATTCAGATTACTTTAAATTATTGCATTAATTAATTTATATTTTAAAATTTTAAATTTATCAGAAATATCTTAATTTATTTTTCAATTTATTATAATTGTAAGGATTTTATGATAATTTAATATTCAATCATTCAACTTATTTTATGTGGTTAGCATATTATTTTAAAATTAGAATAATTTTGGAATAATTAGTATAAGTAATGAAACATTCACAAGTGTAAAGAGTGTGATATTAACACTGCCAAGATTTCACACAAATAAAAATGAATAAATCGACAGTGCTGGATAAAAAATGAGGTTTTTTATGTAAAAATTCAAAAAAAAAGAGAAATTATAGAATTTGGCTCAATTAAAAAAATGTTATTTGTATTATTTATAAACTATAAATAATGGTCATCTTTACACTAACAAATAAAATTGATATGATGTAATAGACACCAACTATGTAAAAGATCTTATATGATGAAAATGAAAATCTTGAAGTTGTGAAATATCATCAAAAGAGTATATATTAATGATCTGCTCAATGGTATTCAATATAGGATGAGAGACTAAAGAGCAAAAAGATGGCAATCAGCATTAGTAGAGATGGCTGATGCCAAGCTTGGTAGTGATGGGAGGCATGACTTGCTGACAATAGTAAATGTTTTAACTTGCTGTTGATGATTGTAATATTTATGGGATGGAGAGCATATCATTGGTGATAATATTCATAGGCATTGATGTCACGAGTGAGTCTCAATTTTATTAATGATGATGATATTGATTTTGACGGTGAGTGTCAAAATTAGTGTTGATAACATTATGCAACTTGTGAATGACAATGACTGTTGAGTTTGACATTGAAGCATTGCACAAATTTTGGTGATAATTGATGATAACGTGCATTGTCTTTCTGAAATATCATCAAAAGAGTATATATTAATGATCTGTTCAATGGTATTCAATATAGGATGAGAGACCAAAGAGCAAAAAGATGGAAATCAGCATTAGTAGAGATGGCTGATGCCCAACTTGGCAGTGATGGGAGGCATGACTTGCTGACAATAGTAAATGTTTAACTTGCTGTTGATGATTGTAATATTTTTGGGATGGAGAGCATATCATTGGTGATAATATTCGTAGGCATTGATGTCACAAGTGAGTCTCAATTTTATTAATGATGATGATATTGATTTTGACGGTGAGTGTCAAAATTAGTGTTGATAACATTATGCAACTTGTGAATGGCAATGACTGTTGAGTTTGACATTGAAGCAAGGCACAAATTTTGGTGATAACGTGCATTGTCTTTCGATGTCAATAGTAGATGTTTGTCTTGCTAGCAATATGTTGATGTTAGCAACATCAGGTATTCACGTTGTTGGTGACAGTGTGCGTTAATGTTGATGACCAAAGCAAGTGTAAATCTTAGTGGCAATTGCAAGCATTGTGTTGTTTAATTGACATCGAATGTCTAATGCTAAAAGAAAGAACTTCGAACTTTTTTTTATAATGTTTCATGTGTCTTCATTTATGCCTTCCCAAATGTATGAAAGTATGGCATTTTTATTGAGTATTGCACATGAACATTTTGATCATTCTGTTGAGAAATAAGAACGGTTCATCATACGATCCATACTATTCTTTTGATCATATAATATTTGAGTATTTGAACGTCTTAATGACATTAATATTAGACTATTTTGAACTCATCCAATTCTTTTGATGATGTAAGTTTCAACTATAAATTTGTAGAAATAGATTCTACTCTATCTCCAAATTGGTCATAAAAATTTGAACCTCAATACATCTAGAATTGGGTGTCACATTAGTTTTATTGATTTAAAATTAAAATAATTTTTAAGTGATTGGGTTTTGTATCATGGCAATTGGAGAGATCCAAAACATATTTCAATTATATTTAAATACCCGTTGACTTAAATTTAATCAGTTATATGAGGATTAGTTTAAACTTGACATGCATTTAGTTTGATATAGCTATTATTTGATTCTTGGCCAACTATCACACATAAACATGTGTAATATCACATTTGGTTTCACTTGTAATGAAATGATGCTTCAACTTTCACTTTTGGTTTCAAAATAGAAAATAAAATGTGTAGGTTTAATCACAAATAACTATGTGGCAATTGAAACATGTATTTAAAATTGAAGTTGAATTAAATATTTGAGGATGATTTATGTTTTATGCTACTTAGATGCAATCAAATATAATGTTTATATTTATAATAATGTTATCACTTATATACTTAAAATTTGTTTAGAATTTTTTTTCTTTTGTTTTATTTAAAAAAAATAAGTTTATTTAGAAAATTTTTGTATGCTTTAATTATTTTTTATTATAATTAATTCAATTTATTTTAAAAAATACTCAAAATAACTAAGTTTTAGGTGTTTTAAATGGTTTTAAAAAGAATTAAAATCACTAATGATAGTATCAATTATAAAATGTATAAAATTATACAATGTATAAAATGAAATAAAAAATAAAAAAATAAAAGTGATCCCAAAGAATCCTTTAGGTATTCAAAGTTTTCTTATTTTTTAAAATAGTTTTGTTGATTTTTTTTTTTTTTGTATTTAAGCAGATTCTTAGTTATTTAATTAATAGAATTGATAATTATATATGATATTTCATTAGAAAAGCCATTCATTTTGATGTAATGTCTAAGTTGGAGATTTATAAAAAAAACTTTGATTTTAGCAAATTTATTGTTAAGTAGGGCATCTTAACTAGATGAACCCAATAGCACCAAATGATAACATTAATGTTTAAATAAGCCCAAATTAAATAATTAAGGTATAATTGAAATGTACAGAAAACTTATTGAAGACTCATTTATTCTTTGAATTTTTAATGCATTAGTCAAATCAAGTATATCAATGATCGAGATCTAAATATCCTAAAATTATATAGCTTTCTCTAATATTTTAAAGTAGAGTGCCCCTAACAAGGCCATCATTATCATATCATCATTGTCTGACTATCGTTGCTCGACCATTGGCACCTTTATAACAATTATTGTTAGGATGTCATTGTCAAATTGTTGTCACATGACATCCTTCTATCATTCTCGTTTATCTAAACATTGTCTCTCAATCATCATCTTTCTACCATCGTTGCTCAACTACTATCTTAAGATAGTTATCACTCGATCATCGTCTTCAGTCTCTATCACTTCTGTCATGGCTACCAAAAATCAAAATTCTCGCTCTTCTATCACGAATTTTATAAGATAACAATACCTAATTTACATGTGTTACAAATAAAAGAAAATTGCAAACTTTGCTAAATAATGACAAATGTTGCTAATGTGGTAGTAATTCATATTAAAATATTTTGACATAAATGATTTTTTATATCATTAAAGTTTATTCTGAGCTGGACATTCAATTAATGCCAACATTACATTGATTCAAAAATAAATTTAATACTTATAAAACACATTTTAATTGAGGGTCCATATGATTAAGGGTGTGTTTGGGGCAGCTTGTATGTTTCAGGATAAGCTGCTTATTTTGAAACGCGGCAACTATCACACATAAACATGTGTAATATCACATTTGGCTTCAACTTTCACTTTTGATTTCAAAATAGAAAATAAAATGTGTAGGTTTAATCACAAATAACTATGTGGCAATTGAAACATGTATTTAAAATTGAAGTTGAATTAAATATTTGAGGATGATTTATGTTTTATGCTACTTAGATGCAATCAAATATAATGTTTATATTTATAATAATGTTATCACTTATATACTTAAAATTTGTTTAGAATTTTTTTTCTTTTGTTTTATTTAAAAAAAATAAGTTTATTTAGAAAATTTTTGTATGCTTTAATTATTTTTTATTATAATTAATTCAATTTATTTT